AAAACTAAACCTAAGGAAGTAGTTTCCAGGATGAAATGCCAAATCAGGAAACTGCCTCAAGTTATCAGGTATAGCACCAGATAAATTATTATATGACACATTGAACCCTTTCAGTTCAACTGAAAGGTTATCAGGGATGCTGCCTTCTAACTTGTTGTTTGATAGGTTAAGAGACACCAAATTACGGAACCTACCAATTCCCCGGGGCAAATGGCCACTTAGGGAGTTATAAGACAGATCAAGGGTTACCAAGCTAAAATTCTGGGTAGAACCTTCAGAAGGTATGTCCTGAAGAGGAATTGGCCCCGTGAAGTTGTTACCTGAGAGGTTGAGATCTGTCAATTTTGTTGACATGAAGAAGCTTGGAAGGAGGAATCCTGTAAGATGGTTGAGGCTAAGATCAATCGCTTTTAGCTCCGGATATGTACCTAAAACAGCTGGGAGAACACCCTCCAATGAGTTATTGGACACTTTCAATGTAGTCAGCCTCAAAAACTGAGAAGTTTGATTTGGCAAGGTTCCAGTGAGTGAATTTGAACTCAACTGAATAACTTCCACATAATTTCCCCAACTCTGTATTCTGGATAAGTTCCCCGAGAGCATATTGTTACTAAGGTCTATGATTGCACAGTGCCCTACCACCATAGGCAAGGAACCTGAGAGCTTGTTGGAAGATAAATTAAGCTTCATTAGAGTTGCAGAGGTTATGCTTCCCACTGGTCCTGCATACCATGCATGAAGAGTATACATGAAAGGTATAAACAGGAAGGTTTGAGGAGAAACAGTACACTATTGAAAAGGCAAAACCAGAGATGCACAGGAAACATAGAAATGAAAAAAGCGAAGAAATACTTTGAAATGAATAATTGTTTGCTGAAGCTATGAGAGAAACGGTAAAGTCATAACATATAGAACTGAAGTAAGCTGCTAGAGACCGATACCTTCTAGTTGATTAAGGCTGAGATCCAGTTCAGACAGGACCATTGAGCTTTCTTGCAACAGAGCTTCTGGGAGTGAACCTGACAGTTGGTTGCTTCCAAGTCTAAGAGTCCTCAAAGAGACAACAAAATTGAAGGAAGGTATAGTGCCTTCTAACTTGTTATTACTTGCATCAAACACCTCTAAACTGTCAAAAAATGGCATTTCAGCGTGAGCAAAGAGCTCACCAACCAATGAATTGTAGCTTATATTCAAATATTGAATTGAGGAAATAAAACTGGAGCTTCCAAGTTCCAAGTCCAGTGAACCGGAGAACTGATTGCTGCTAAGGTCAACATGCCCCACACCACCCAAATGAGACAGAAAGTTCATGATATCACCAGAAAAGCCATTAGCCCGCAAATCTAAATACTTCAATCCATCAAGACTATCAAAACCAGTGGGAATTGCACCCTCAAAATTGTTTGAAGAAAGATTCAGAAGTACTAAATTCTTCAGTTTGGCTATCCCAGATGGTACCAACCCATAAAAGACATTGCCTGAAAGATCCAAAAACTCAAGGGACTGAATGGAACCAATATTTGAAATAGTTCCTGCCAACTGGTTGTTTGAAATGGATATGTTCCTAAGGTTCTGAAGGCCAACAATAACAGGGAAACTAAAGTTTCCAACCAGACCCACATCATTCAGAGAGATTGCCGTCACATGCCCATCTGTACAGGTTACCCCAAACCAATTCTGAGGACAACCATCAGATTTCAAGGACTTAGAATTCCACGAAGCAAGAACTTTTCCTGGATCTTGATTAATTCCTTTCTTGAGTTCCAAAAGTGCCTCAAAATCAGATTGTCCGAAAGCAAGAACTGCTAACAAGAATATTGTCAAACAGATTCTCTGCATTCCTTCAACAGTAGCCCCAACCCCCAAATCTAAATGATGTAGATCAAATCCAACAAACAAGTTATCAACTTGGAGTTACTAGACGAAACTGCATGGCTAATAGCTAGAATGAATGAGAAGAATACACATGAGAGTAAGGTAGAATGAAAGAATCAACTTCATCCCAGTTCCAAACACTAACAATATGAGGGAAGAATCCATCCAGATTCTAAAGGGGTTTGTTGGAATCTAGAAGAAGCATGATATGGAATATGCAATGAACCAATGCAGGTAATGAATTGCATAATTCATGCACATTCAAACACATGAATCCATATTGTGAATAAAAACAAAACACCCCAAAAGAAATCTGAAGAAAAAGACTCTACATTTCAATGTTCAACAAAGGGAGAGCTGTCATAGGAACACAATGATGCCTTGGATTAACAAGTAGTAGAAGAAAGAAGCAACAAACCAGAAACTGGGAATCCCCTTTTGGGTTGCAGAGTTGCAGCATAAGCAGAATGAAGAGGTAGCAAATGGGGAGCAGAGAGCAGAGGAAGAAGAGCAAGTCAAAGAAGCAGTGGAAAAGAGTTAAAAGAGTGAGAGAAACAGGTGGGTGGTGTTGTCCTGACAAATTTAAAGATGAAAATGAATGTGTTGGGTGTTGAATGGTCGTTAAAAATGGTTTCTTTTTTTAAAAGCACAATAAATAAGATGATTAATTGGTGAGTTGGAATGTAGCTGTACTGTAGTGTTGCCTTTGACTTA